CCAGACTCCCACAAATAGCTCATTAATCGAGGAAACCATGGAAGCAGCTCTGTTTGGATAGTGCCGTGCTGTATACCTAGAGTAGTTCAGAGTTCCATCTCCCGAGTAGAAAAAAAAGTCAAGTAACACTCCTTCAGTTTCTATGGAGTCCAGTTTGCTGCCTCGGGCAAGGGAGCGCAGCTTGTAGAAGATCGATCCCGATCGGCTCGGATAGCTGGATACGGGATGTTACTGAAGGAAATTCCCCCGCGCGATCGAGAAGAAATCGATAGGAGAAAGAAGCGAACTATCAATCGTGTCAGAAAACCATCCCCGCGTGGCCACCAATCAAGCCCTCAAGGCTCAAGTGGATAAAGTCTACACCTGCCAACGATGATGTTTCATAAACAGCGGGTCGGCCAAAACACTGCGTGTTCTGCGTAGCGATTCCAGCGGAATTTGAGTCTGTAGTGTTAACAAGCTTAGCAGTTTACGTGGGTGCCAACCACGTTTGTTTTCTTACATTAGAGGTACTGATAAATGTGTCGTATCTTATTTTCTTACAGACATTCACACACAACCACCCGACGAACGACGCAGTGTCAGATCTATATTTTTCTGCTAGCGCAATTGTTGAAGAACGACCCGATGCTGTTGATGACGTTGCCAAAATGCTGGACGTGCGCGCTAGTGCAAAGCATGTTACAGCATTTCTCTCCGAAACGCTAGGTTCGTCGAATCTTTGGATTTTTTATGCTTCAAGTTTTACTTACAAATTGACGTATGCAGGGAAAAACATAACACCTCAGCAATCCAGAAACATTATACGGAAAATTGAAGGGAAAAATAGCGCGGAGTCTCGTGTTCGACGCATGTTACAAGAGTTTGTGAAGACAGAAGGAAACGATGCAACAGTACTGCAAGATCAACACGGCATCATTTGTGGGATAATAATGCAGAGCGCTGCTCAAAAGAAGTGTTTTCAAGAGTGGGGCGACTGCCTTCTGATGGACTGGACTCATGGCACGAATAATCTCGGGTATCATCTGGGTAAGTACTTTGCACTGAGATGATATTTTGTACAGTACTCATAGTTTAATGTGCACGTAGGGTCACTTCTAGTCACATGTCCGAGCGGTCGCGGGATCCCTGTTGTTGACTTTCTGGCGCTGAACGAGAAAAAACGAACCATGATTCGTGTTCTGGATTTTTTCAAGGAGAAGAATCCTTCGTGGGAGAAGATAAGGACGTTCGTTATAGATAAAGATTTCACGGAGTGGAAATCTTTGGAGATGTGCTTTCCGTCGGCGAAAGTTATTTTGTGCCAGTTCCATGCTATCACCTATTGGAAGAAGCTCCTGCAAAAGCGAAAATACAACGTCAAAGTTGGCCAAAGAGATGAAATCATAAAGCTTTTCAGAAGAATGATGTTCAGGTACGAAGCATGCGTACAAACACCATATATATTGAAAATACTGACATACCTGTGTTATGTTTTGCGGTAACTAGTCCCACCAAATCGCTGTATACGACGGCGTACGATGCGTTTGCAAACTTCTGCAAGAGAGAGTGCCCAAAAATTCTCGCCTACTTTGATAGGAACTGGGGGTCATGTCGTGAAATGTGGGCAAACCATGCATGAGGTCTTGTTTTTTCCGCTGGTAACACTACCACCAACCGTCTCGAATCGAACTGGAACCAGTTGAAAATTCTACTAGGACACAAACCAAGGATCGACAAGGCAATCGCCGGAATCTTGGGTCATCAGGTTGCGGTTTTCCGACAACTTTCCTCCTCTCTTGGTCTCCACGTATCGCGCTCAAGAATGCCAGAATTGATTCCGCAATTCCTGCGTCAAATTACGGGAAAACTGAGTGATTACACTTTGGCAGTGGTCATAGAGCAGTATGTGCAATTCAACACGCGCCTCCGCCACACGACTCCTGAGATTCCGGATAAAAGATGTCCCTGGAATTGGAAAATATCCTCGGCTTGGTCTTCACACACTGTCAACGACCTGGACTGGACGTGTACATGCAACTTCTACAGTAGCACAAACTTGCCGTGCAAGCATATCATGCTGATTGCTCAAAACGGTCAAAAGTTTGACTTCTTGCCTCCGTCGGTGGTCCACCAACGTTGGTGCATGAATCATGCAACTCACGTCCAGGAAGTACTGCGCGATACGGTTAAGGTTTTACGCGTAGTTCGGCAGTACGCTAGCGTTGCAGCATCCCTTATCGAGGCCGAATCTACAATCGAGCACGGAACAGATACCCAAGGTCCTGATCACCAGCATTTTGAGTACAGAGAGCCAGACTCGGTGCAGAATCCCAGCACCAACGACGAAGCAGCTCCCTCCGTTAAACGCAAAAAATCCAAGAGGCCCAAAGTGCAGTACTTAAAGATTAAACGCCACGAACGAGCTGATATGGTGGTCCTCGCGTCCAACGAGAAGTATCGATACGCTGGACGTGTATTCGAACCTCTTTTACAGAATTTGTCTGAGTTGCCTACAGCGAAGTTTTGCGCAGAATTAGAAACGTGGAAAGAGGTCGTCGGTCAGCACTTATCGTCCCAGCCCTCTGTGAAAAACTCGGTTCACAACGTAGAAGATAGAAATCCCAACGATTCCTCGGACAGTGATAGTTGTGACAGTCTTGTTGAAGCCGAAGTTGGTACTACAATTGATGTGTTACAAGAAGGCGTCGACGAAACCAAGCAGTGGGCGGACAGTATTCGATCTCAAGTATCAACAATTCAGACGACTAGAGAAACTCTAAGTGAATGTCAGCAACCGAGTATACAGCCGAAGTCTCCTCTACAAAAAAAAACAGAATAAAAATCATTTTCTGCCGTGGGAATGCGTAGAGAACGAGAGGTTGCAGTGGAGACGCTAAAATTTCCGAAGAAAAAACGCAACACAACCAGAACTACGCGGACACAAAGTACTTTTGGTACGTCGACATCGCGTACAGCTGTCATCGTGTCGCGTACAGAAGTAGACGTGAGCGTCCGTGACGTTATAATGTGGTCCCGATCATCGATGCTGTCGAGAGCGGTTCGTGTACTAGATACGTACCCAGTCAAATTAGAAGAAGTGGCACACCGTATTCCTCGGTGTGAGCGGAAATGGGCACGTCCGGAAGCCTACACACAATTTTGTCGTTCCCGCTACACTAGTATCTAAAATGATCTCTGTCATGGAGGACTATCGGCGGGAATCGAGCGCTCAGTCTACGCCTAAAAAGAGTCTCGCTCACGACGATTTGAAAGATGAACTAGTGTTAACGATAACTCTGACTTTCCGAGCTTCTGTGGAACTTTCGTCCGCACACTGCAAGAGTTCCACAGTTTAAAACAACAATGTGGTGCCTGGGAATGAGATATACAATGGGTAGGACGCAGTTGGGGAAGCACAAACCAGGCTCTCCCCCTTGACTACATTGGCCTGTTTGCTGGTGAGATTGATGCACACTTTGGATGGATGACCGCACCAGGCACACGAAGTCTCGAATGTGCAGCTGAAGTACTTGAAAAATTGAAGTCTCGAGCCCTGAACACCCTCTTCGCGTTGCCGTCTGGTCGCTCGGCAATCTCTCTAGCTCAAATTATTGGTTTCGTAGCACAAGACGCGATGTTGAACGATCCAGTAATTCATACTTGCTGTCAGGCTGTATGTGATGGAGTTCCCGATTCTGCTGTAGTGTTGAGCACCTTTGTATTCACGCTGGGATTCCCGCCCAGCCCTGTGGCGGAGCACGCCTCACGCAGCAGCAGTCCTGTTGACATAGCCTCAGTCAAGTACGTCGTCCTACCCGTACATTTGGAAAACAACCACTGGGGAGTTATGGTTGTCGTTCTGGAGTATTCAGTATCGCCGGTGATAAATGTATTCTTCTATGAACCCTTTTGTCGCGGGCAGTACAAGGAGGTGATGGAGCAACAAAAGTGGGAAAATGGTTTGTTACGATTTATCCGCAAGTGGCACGAAGATACACGCCCTCATCAGGTTTTTCCTCCCGTTGAAAAAAATTGGTTGGCAGGGCCTCGTCAACCGCCAGGGACTCTCTGCTGTGGAGCGCTTGTAGTAGCACAAGTGCACTCGATCATACACGTTCCAAATTGCTTTCAGTCTCTTGGAGAAGCTATTTCGACGGAATACGTTTGCTTGGTGCGCCTTCGCATTGTGTGGTTGCTACTGTGCCAAACGAAGGAGCGAAGTAGTGAGCCAGTAGCCGAGACGATCAAGAAGAAGATCAAAGAAGACTTTGGTGCATGGGTTTAACTTTACAGGAGTAAACTATACATTTTTTTTTAGCATATTTGCGGGCTTTACACGCGTATTTTTGTATTCACGCAGTGTGGACATGCGTCTGCTTGGTACTTTTGCCTCGTGAAGCCGGACTCACAGCTTCATCCGGTCTCGCTGCATGCAATTTTCCCTTTCGTCAGCCGTCTAGTGATGAAGGTCACAGTATCGGCTTGGATCTTGCTTATCCAGGCCTTGGGGATTCGGCTGATGGCGAGCGCATTTATGGCCACCCTGACTCAACGTAGGTGTTGCTCATTCAGGTGCGGCACTTGTCTGCGTACTACACGTAATTTTACTGCTAAACTTGGTGCTTCTGCCGACAGTGGCCTTACAAGTACTGGCTTCGGCTACTGGAACTCGTGTTGAGCGTGGTGTTGGTGCCGGTGCTGACCTTCATCCAGTCGGCGTGTCTGTTGCTACTGTAGGCCTGGGCATCCCGACGCCGGCGTTGGTTCCTCCTCTGCGCTGCTGACCAGTTGGGCTGCTGCACTTGGTGCCGCGGGCAGTCTTGCTGTTGCTAGTCTTGGTGGCGTCGACGTGTCTGTTGGTCGTCTTTGCCTCTGCTTCTTGTCTTTTGTGTTCTTCACAACCAACTAACCAATAATACACTCGAAATTGCTACTCTATTACATTAAGCATTCCGTTGCCCAACAGGTGCTGAAGCAACGGAGATACTTTCGTTTGATTGTGCTTCCGTTGCAGTAACGAGACTCCACGTCCGACCCGCCCACTCCGCGGTTGTCGAAGCTCACGAGCTTCACGTCGCGCTTGCCGTCGACAGCGCCGCTCCACTTGTGCAGCAGCATGTCGATCAGCGGCGTCCAAGCCTCCTTGATGGTCATGAAGCCCGTGATGAGGATCACTCGCTCTTCCGGTGCACCGTCGACTTTGACCTCGTTCTCGTGGGTGACATACTCGACCGTGATGCCCGTCGACAGTGCCGCCATCTTCTTGGCATCCGGAGCGAAGTGCTTGGGGTTGGCGTAGAGAGCGTCGAAGACAACAAAACGTTGAAGCATGTTCCGGTAGATGTATGAGCATGTGCTAAAAAAAGAAGCCGCCTCTCGTCCTCTCTTCGCCGAGGATACACGAACGTACTCTACAGTACTGTACCAGGTATCGGTAGAAGCGCATTGAGAACGTCGAGCAGTGAAGGAATGTTCATCGCGGCAAATTGAAAATTTACGTTACCGCGATGAATATTCCTTTCGTGGGGTTATTTTAATATGTGGCGCACACAAAACCCAAGTTGACGAATCGATCTTGAAGCCCAGCCACTTTTGACCACCACCATGGAGCCGAGTGAGTGGGAGCGATGGCCGCACGCCTTCGTGCAGACGCCCGAGGGACTCCGCGTGCACTTCGTGGACGTGGGGCCTAAGGACGGACTCCCCGTCGTGATGGTGCACGGGTGGCCCGACCTCTGGTTCGGCTGGCGGGTACGTTCCCCTTCCAGTTAAAACTGGAGCTCAAAATCTGAAAACAACATTTATCTTTGCTTGCAACGCGCGCGCAGCACCAGATCCAAGCCCTCAGCCCCAAGTACCGACTCATCGTGCCAGGTGCAGCAGCTTCAATATGAGTTCAACAGCGTGGCACTTATTAAATCGACTTACTCGCAATGTGCAGATGTCCGCGGCTTCGGTCAAAGCTCGACGCCGCCCAATACCGAGGCCTACGGAGCCAAGAACATCTGCAACGACCTGGTGGCGCTACTGAGTAAGTATTATGCTCTCAGTGCCGTTTGCTTGGTTGCATCGAATGAATTGAGTGACTCCTGTGTGTCCTTGCGCCATTGCAGACGAGCTGAAGATCGACAAGGCTGTGTTCATCGGCCACGACTGGGGTGGCCGCCACATCTGGAGGTTCGGCCTCTATTATCCCGAGAGGGTCATCGCTCTCTGTGCAGTGTGCACACCGTACGACCCACCGAGGAAGACGTATCTGTCGCTGGAGAAGGTGGTGGAGATGGTGCCTCAGTTCAAGTACCAGCAGTTCCTGGCCAACACCGCCGTCTCCGGAAAAGTGCTGGACGCCTCGCCTCGTCGGCTGTTCACTGCCATGTTCCGCAAGCCGTCGGAAATGGGGCCTCGAGAGACTCGCATGTCCCTGCGGAAGACGCTCATGGCCGTCGACTCGGATGTGGACCACCCGGTGTTTACCCAACGCTCGACGCTGCTCTCTGAGGCCGAGCTGGAGTACTATATCCAGCAGTACTCAAGCAGCAAGTTCGCCAGTACGTGCCAGACCTACGCCACGGGCAAGATCGACTTTGAGAACGAGCTGCAGCTGCCCCGAGTGGTCAAGCACCGGGCGCTGTTCATTGGCGCGGCTAAGGACGCGGTGCTCAAGCCCGAAATGGCACGAGGCATGGCCAAGGTGGTGCCGAACCTGGAGACGAGAGTGATCCAGGATGCAGGCCACTGGGTGCTTTGGGAGCAGAAGGAAGAGGTGAACGCAATCCTGTCCGAGTGGCTGGCCAAGATTGCTGCCAGTATCCAGGATAGCAACCCCAGCGCGAAGCTGTAAGACGTCTTTCGTCAGTGTTTGGACGAGTAAAATGGACTGGTCAATGGATTGCATTCCGTGTCGCGAATGCCCCAAAGTGTCAGCGAATCACCCCGTCGTGAGAACTTCACGGTCAATGACATTGAACTGATTAGATTTACAGTTTTTCATGCCCGTGGTGTTGATTAGCTGACCTCTGAAATGCTCCACCGCATTGTCTATCCAGCTGGTGCCCGACATCCCGATGATCACAATCTCATGTAACTTTCCCAGCCTCCGGCCCCCACAAGCTCCCGAGTCAAAATTGATCAGCTTCGACGAGCTCATTCAACAACTTTCCAAGTCTCCTGCAAGTCAAGTCAAGATGGCGACAGCGCGTACGCACATGGACTCGTCCGTGTGGCAGCAGTGGCCGCACCACTCCATCACCACGCCCGAAGGCATCAAGGTTCATTACGTGGACGTCGGTCCACGGGATGGCCCTCCCGTCGTCATGCTGCACGGTTGGCCCGACCTCTGGTTCGGATGGCGGGTAAGTTGCGGGCCTGCAGCCTTTGCTGGATCTGTGAGTTAGCTGACCAACGTTTTGCTTGCCGCAGTACCAAATCCAAGCGCTGTCACCGACGTACCGCTTGATTGTCCCTGATGTGCGCGGCTTCGGCCAGAGCTCGACGCCGCAGCAGCTGGAGGCCTACGGCACCAAGAACATATCGAATGACATCGTTGCCTTGCTCGGTACGCTACGCAGAACTTCCGTTGCATTGTGTGTAGACCCATTCTAACGGTTTACTCGCTTCAGACGCGCTCAAGATCGAGAAGGCGGTGATCGCGGGCCATGACTGGGGTGGTCTGAACGCCTGGAGATTCAGTCTGTACCATCCCGAGCGCGTGCTGGCTGTGTGCGGCGTGTGCACTCCTTTCGTGCCGCCTCGTAAGCAGTACGTGTCGCTCGAGGACATGTGCAAGTTCGTGCCCCAGTTCAAGTATCAGCTCTTCCTAGCGGACGCCAAGAACTCCGGCAAGGCGTTGGACGCGTCCCCGCGCCGTCTAGCGACCGCCATCTTTCGGCGCAAGTCCGAGTACGGTCCCAAGGAGGAGGCGCTGCCGCTGCACGAGTTCCTGCAGGTCATCGACAAGGACGTGGACCACTTGATGTTCAGGGAGCGCTCGTCGATGCTGTCGGAGGACGAGCTGCAGTTCTACGTGGACCAGTACGCGCAGAGTAAATTCACCAGCGCCAACTGGGTCTACGCGACCAAGAAGGTCGACTTCGAGACGGAGAAGGACCTCCCGGGCACGATCGAGCACCCGGCACTCTTCATCGGAGCGGCGGACGACCCCGTGCTCAAGCCGGAGATGGCCAAGACCATGCCGCAAGTGATCCCGAACCTGGAGATGGAGCTGGTCGAGGACGCCGGTCACTGGGTCCTCTTCGAACAGCCCGAGGCCGTCAACTCCATCCTGTCCAAGTGGCTGGCCAAGGTCACCAGCCCGTAATGCAACTAGGTACCGTATAGCAAGCGTAACTCAAATGTCACCCCCTGAACTGCTTCGTCGTCCACGTCTGCAAGGTCCGCCTCGGTCTCACCGGACATTGTTGATGAAAACATCCACTGCACATCACGATGGAGTGATCTTATGCCTTCCCCTACGCAAGCCCCGCACACTTTGAGGGTTCATCCATTCTCCATTCTTCGGCCTTCCGAGCAAGTCGATTCAAGGAACACGAAACAAAGCCATGGCGTCTGTCGAAGAAACCTTGCTGTCCCCATTGGTGTCGGTTGCAGGTGTCACCACGCAACGTCACGTCGACGCTCTCTACGCCAACCCCAAGCACTTCGCTCCGGATGCCAAGAAGAAGGCGGCACTGTCGACGGGCATCACGGTCGAGTATGTCACCCACGAGAACGAGGTCAAAGTCGACGGTGCACCGGAAGAGCGAGTGATCCTCATCACGGGCTTCATGACCATCAAGGAGGCTTGGACGCCGCTGATCGACATGCTGCTGCACAAGTGGAGCGGCGCTGTCGACGGCAAGCGCGACGTGAAGCTCGTGAGCTTCGACAACCGCGGAGTGGGCGGGTCGGACGTGCCCTGGTGGCGTTATACTACCAGTGGAATGGCACAAGATGCGTTGGCACTACTGGATTTCCTCAATTGGGAGTCGGCACACGTCGTCGGGGTCAGTATGGGCGGCATGATCTCGCTGGAGCTCGCCCTAGCAGCTCCAAAGCGAGTAAAGTCTCTCACACTTATGGTAACAACTCGAGGCAAGTACGTCGAGGACCCTCGCTCCAAGGAGCCCATGAAGGAGAATATCGATGCTACAGAACCGGAAGCTATCGCCAAGGCTCAGCTGAAGCTGCTCTGCAGCGAGGTGTCTCTGGACCAGCCAATGTCCTTCGGTAACACAACGAGACGTGAAGTGATGTACCAGTATCTGGAGGACCGTGCGAGGGTACGGGAGAAGCTGTCATATCTCGGGATGATCAACCAAGTCCTGGCAATCCGCACGCATTGGGTCTCCGATGAGCGGCTTTCGGCCATCAACGACGCTGGCTTCCCGATTCTTTTGGTCGGAGGCGCCATGGACATTCTCATCCCCCCGTGTGAAATGCAGACGCTGCGGCAGCATTTGAATGGAGGCCACGTCAAGACGCTTTTCTTCGAGGAAGGGGGCCATGGGGTCTTCTTTCAATACCCAGAAGAAATCGCTGACAGTCTTACGGAGCTAGTTCTGCGTTGCTGATAGCGTACTAACCACGCACTTCCTTTTATTGCGTTGGTGATGGTAGGCTTCTAGCATTATCGAAACGGCAAAAGAATTGTAGCTGTCTCAACGGACGTTGCAGTCTGTGGAAGACAGGATTGTCTGTGAACGCACGATTACAGACTAAGCGATAGCGCCCATGCAGCTTATACCATTTGCTCCGAGGCAGCCGCGGTCCTGCTGCAGCTCTTCCCAACCATTTTTCTGTGTACGTGTCGCGGCAATTAGCAAATGAGTAATTCATCTAATTGAACTCATACACTGGTTCTCTCAGCACAAACATCACATCACTTAGGCCCGTTCTCAACCGGAATTCCTCGAAAAAGGACTTGTGATTGGTTAGTGGGGTATGTAGGTGGTCGCATGCGGCCGCATGCAAAAATACAGAGAACTCCGGTTATAGTGGAGGTGTTTGGCCATCAACTTCACAAGCTCTCTTATAGATTTTTGCTGTTATAAGAGGGAACCTATTATTGAAAATTGAAACTACTATAAAGCATGGAAGTACGAGGTGATTGACGTCTGGCGCTTAGAGATAATTGCCATTCTCCTCGTGGCATTGACAACGTTCTGTACACTGATGTCCTGTAATCCGTGAGCAAACATGTAGACCTGAAGCTTTTGAGCTGCTTCTAGTGCCTCGCTGTGCGAAACCGGTCGTTCCTCCTCACCACCACAATCACTCTCACTGTCACTTGAAACTTGCTCGCTTGCGTCGTCGCTGTGTGGGCTATCGTCAACAGCATCTTCAACGTCAACGTAGCGTGCCGCACTCAATGGATCCAATAGATCTAATCTAGATATCAGCGCTTCTAGATCTTCCAGCTCCGTTTCTCTTGTCATCGGCTCACTGTCGCGCTCAAGCCTAGCGCTCATGCTTCCTGACACAATCCTAGTAAGTGTCGAATTGTCGCATCCGCATCCGCGTTCCATGCGCCCACGACAAATTTTATTGCCGTCAACAAATCTAACCGCTTCTGTGGACCGGTCTGCTCAATCACCCACTGCACAAATAATTTCTTGTACTTCAGCTTGAAGTTTCGAGTAATGCCGGCGTCCATTGGTTGCAGGTGCGACGTAGTATTTTTTGGTAGGAAATGGATGTACACATTGTTCAGTTCAATGTCAACATGACCAGCAGCGTTGTCGAGCAGCAAAAGTATTCTGCGTCCATGCATCTTGAGATTTAGCGCCCGCACCCACTTCAAAAACACTTCAGCTGTCATCCATGCTTTTTGGTTCAAAAAATAGTCCATAGGGATCGCGCCAACGTTGACACCTTTGAAGCAGCGCGGTTTCGCAGCTCGATTGATCACGATGGGCTCCAATTTTTCAGTACCCGGTAAAACACAGCTGTCTCGTCCATATTGAAAATATCTTGGGGGTTGTATTTGTCGAGTAGCTCCATTAACTCTACACATTGCTGGCCGAGGTCCGCCGTGTCAACCGATCCAGCCTCCCCATGCATCTTGTGTAGCGTCACACGATGACGAAACTTGAACCGTTGAATCCACGACAGGGAAATTGTCTCCTCTCCGACGAGTTCATTTGCCTTTGTTCGTAGCATCTCGTCCGAGAGGAGACCCTTGGATTCTTGAGCATGCACGAACTCCATCAGCTTGTCTTCAATAGACGCATGGTGCGACTTGCGTTTCTTTTTAAGGTTCCCATTGGGAGTGCAGTCAAGTGGCTGGCTGATAATTTTTCCCCACTACAGGCCAATCCTTTTGTTGAGGCGTACGGCAACCCACTGCTGGAGATCGACGTGCTTGAGACTGGGGTGCGCCTGATGATACTGGCGGAGCTCGTTTTTTCGTAGATAGTGAGGTGCTGACATGACGAGACCGTTATTGTGCTCTTGATCGTGTTTAAAAGTGAGCCACGTGACGTGGCTCACTTTTAAAACCAAAACCACACATTGTAAGAGGAGTGGGAGACACGTGGGCCACGTGTCCCCCACTCCTCTTACAATGTGTGGTTTTGGTTTGGTGGGGGAGCTCTCTTACACTCTTACAGTCTAATAGCCGGTTTGACTTGCTTTTACTATGGTCAGAATTTGGGATATCCGCGGAAGCGCTCTAATAGTCGATTTACTCTTATACCCGGCGCCACTATAGCCGGAGTTCTCTGTAGCGGGCAGCGAAGTCGCCGCACGAGAGTCACTCTCGGAGAGTGAGTAGGGGTTGCACGCCGCAGCACCAATCAGAGCGCTCTTATTGACTCACCTGCTGGTACAGTATCAGACAACAGCCGAGCCACGAACAATCACGATCTATTAATACAGTGGTTTCAAGTAAGTCAATTGATATATTTCATTGCGATCAACATCAAGAAACCTGCTTTCAAACAATACTAAGCATGTTATGCCATTTAACAGATTTTTCGGGTCCACATATCATATTTTGTTATTAATACTGTATCTAACTTTCTAGAAGCAAGTGGATAGGTTTCTCCTTCGACAATTGCAAACAATACATACAAAAACCTACCGCTATCCAACGTGTTGAAACTCAAGGGGTGTGTGTGTGAGAGGGTTTGCACAAAACCCACGCGTAGAAAGCTTTTAAGGATCGCTGCCCACGGTCCGTTGACCACAAACCAGGTTTAGAATTTCCTCCGCACTTGTTTGATAGTAATAGGAAAGGCTCGACGTGAACTACGCATTGAACCATTCTACAGCACGTAAATTGCCACCGGCTGCTGCTTTTTTACTGCTGGGGCCGTTAATTTTCAGTGCTGTTCGCTCATTGCGTATTTTGATTAATATTTCTGCGGCAACGTGTCTCTCCCTTCCTTTCCTTCGTCAATTTACATTGAAAATTTGATTGAGATTTGCCGTCACGCTACAATTTTAATTGTACAATGTAGGCATTGAATTGTATTCTTGTGGTTTGTATAGGGGTCTGTATAGACCATTTGATTGGCTACCCACGCACGTACAGTTATCAAGTCAACTGTCTTGTACAATACAATAAAATCATTGCAGCCAATTTTCTAATTGTAATTGTTGACCCCAATTTTATCAATAGTTTTATTGCAATTTTTATTTACGCAACGCTGATCCAGATACCAGACAGTCGTGTTTCTGGTGCAAGCAGCAAGGGAACGAGCCACAGCGCCTGAAACCGATCAAATGTCACGGTTGTTTTACTGTCATGTTCGGTCTCGATTACCTTTTGCCTTGAAGGACTGTCGGCGGGGAAATTTTGAGTAGCCCTGCCACCTCAACGGGGTGTTCGGGCTTGAGCGAAGTTGTTAGACGAAGTTGATGATGCATTGAGGCTTTCGGAGGATTGAGCGTCGGCAAACATAAATGTACACCCCCAGTAGCTTTCCTAACCGTACCGTAGCGACTTCAGCTTTCAAACCTGAGCCCTTAGAACACCGGCAGCACGTGAGATACCATAGATAAGTTGAATTTGTGGTTAACCGAGCTGGCTGGTGACACTTACTTTCACATGCGACATCGGATGCAGCTCCCTTATAGGCATACTGACTGGGAACAAGAGGTGCTGGTTCGGACAGTATCAGCATGTGTCGATAGCACTTAGAGGCTGCTGTAGCGGTGCTGCTCGTGCGGCAGGATGTTGGCGAGCTGCTCCTCGATGTACTCGCGCACTAGCGGCGAGAACACGTCGCGCTGCATCTGGCCGTTGAACATGGCATCGTGGCCGAACTTGGAGTCCACCTCGACGAGCTGCGCGTTGTGGCCGTACGATTGCAGGATGTTTACGAGGTTGCGCTGCTCCTGGATCGGGATCAGCAGGTCCTGCTTGATGCCGATGATCAGCGAGTCGCACGAGATGCGGCTCGTGCCCTCCGCCAGGTTGAGCGAGTTGCGGCCCAAGTTGGTCAGGTCCATGGCCTTGGAGAGCAGCAGGTAGCAGTTGGGGTCGTACAGGCGTGCGAACTTGTTGGCCTGGTAGTCCATGTAGCTCTCGACCTCGAACGTGGCCGTCTTGAAGTGCTGCGGGCCCGTCGGGTTCCAGTCGAAGCGGGCGTCGAACTCCTCGCGCGAGCGGTAGCACGTCATGCCCAGCTCGCGCGCCACCTTCATGCCCTCGAGGGGCACGCCGGGCGTGTAGTTGCCGTCCTTGTACATGGGGTCGGCGAGGATGGCGCGCCGCTGCACGCGTCGAAAGGCGACGGTGCCGGGCGTAGTCTGGTGGGTGCAGGCGAGCCCCACGAGGCGGTCGAGGCGGTCCGGGAACTGGGCCGCGAACTCGAGCGCCTGGATGCCGCCCATGCTGGCGCCCACGACGGTGTGGACGCTGTCGATGCCCAGGTCGTCCAGGATCTTGGCGTGGCAGCGCGCCATGTCGGCGGGCGTGAGCTGCGGGAACGAGGCCTTGTACTTGTCGCCCGTGCGCGGGTCCACCGACAGCGGCGACGTGGCGCCGAAGGGGCTGCCCAGCACGGACGGGCAGATGACGCGGAAGTAGGACGTGTTGATGGCCTTGCCGGGGCCGATCATGTTCTCCCACCAGCCGGGGCGCGGGTCGTCGCGGTTGGACGCGGCGTGGCTCGAGTGCGAGAACGACGGGAGCACGAGGATGGTGCGGTCTCCGGGCAGCGAGCAGTCGCCCCACTGCTCCCACTCGATGGTCACCTCGGGCAGCGAGCCGCCCAGCTCCAGCGGGAACTCCTCCTTGAGCACGGACAGGTACTTGTTGCGCGTGAGCGAGAAGTCGCCGCCGCGGCGCGGGTCCACCACGTACGACCGTTGCTGCTGCTGCTGCCGTAGAGCGGAGAGGCTGAGCGCGGAGGCGCGGCGTTGGCGCAGCGCCGCCTGGGCTACACGGCTGCATTGCAATGGAAAAGAAAAGATTAGCGTAGAACGGGGTAGAGCGAGAGGCGGGGGCAGCCTACCGAGCCAGCATGTTGCTTGTGACGCTTTTCGTTCCGTTGGGTCGGAGGTGAAATGCACAATGGCAGTGAATGACCTCGCTCCTGTTCGGGTGGGGCACTTTCGGCCGGATACCTGAGTCCTCCATCTGCTGGGATTTGCAAGGAGACCAAGAGCTCCATCCGGGAAAGGATGTCCCAGTTACTACGAAAACCTCGCTTTAGTGACGGAAAACCACGTGCGTGCATTGACGGTACCCACAGGACCGGAACGCACCAATGGCAGTTTTTCTTACGGCCTCGTCACGTAGCCACTGAAGCGGGGGCGCATAGTGACGGAAGGATATTATTTCGCGCGTTGCGACCTTCTTGCATCACCGGAAAAATGGAGGGCGAGACCGCTGGTCAAACGCCGTTGAGTTCATCTACCGGAAAGCTGGCGTCGATGCACTGCAGAGCTCACCCACCACGCTGTCCCGTGACGGCCCGTTTTTAGCGGTCTCGCACCCGTTTTTAGACGATTCAACCACATCAGGCACAAGACGACCTCGCGGTCAGGCGCCCGTGCTCAACTGAGTCAGGCACTGGCGACGACGTACTCGCCACCAACCATTCACTGGGTGCGAGTACTCTACTGTACGCACCGTCAACACCGGCATGCGTCGCAAGTGTTGACGAGCCTCGGCACTGTCGGGTTCGACTGCGGCACTGAACGAAATACAGTTGACGTTTTTGCTCGGAACTTGTTGACTCGCATCTCTCCGAGGTCGGGCGCTTGTGTGGACAATTGCGCCAATCATTTGTTTTCTCATCTGTCCAAGTCCTAAGCTAAGACAGTGTCGCCGAATGTCAAGACCAAGCAACAGCAGCACAAAAGTGGATTTGGTTATTTACTTAATAACTAGCGGCATCGACGAAGACTCGGTAGGCTCTGGGTGGAGGGGGCACGTACGTACATCCACGCACCACGCGTCAGTACCTGGAGCTGAATTAACTCGTTGCAGCGGATTGGTTTGCACTCTGCACGACTTCCATGAGGTTACCAGCGATCTCGTCAATGTGCTGCAGAAAGCACCCGTGGCCAGCGTCGTCGTACAGCACGAACTTGGTGTGGTCGCTGGCGAGGGCCTTGTCGAAGTGAAGCGAGTGCGAAACGTTGATGCACTGATCCATTTGGGCGCCGACAATGAGGATCGGGAACTTCTGGTCACGGATCTTGCGCAGCTTCTTGTCCGACACGCTGTGAAGCACCAGGGCCGCGGTCTGGCCGAGCGCTCCGGACGATGACGGAGCACCCAGCGTGGCCGCTACGTTCTTGTGGTACTTGAAAAACACGTCGCGCATGGTGCCGTTGTCCCCGTTCTTGCTGGCGAGGAACGACTCCGGGTACAGGAAGGACAGGATAGCGTTCGTGACCTTGTCCGCATCCGACGAGACCAGCGTCGTGAGGATCGCTGGGTATGCAGAAGCGTCAGGGGTGAAGGACCCTGGGCTCGTCACCAGCAGCGACAGTGACAACACCCGCTCCGGGGCAGCGAGCGCGATCTCCTGCGAGATCATGCCGCCCATGCTCACCCCTGCAATGTGGGCGGTCTTCCACCCGACGACGTCCAGCAGTGCCAGTGTGTCCTGCGCCATGCCCGACGTCGAGTACTTGCCCCACGGAGCGTCCGTGTCCCCCACGCCGCGGTTGTCCAGCGTCAAGACCTTGAGCGTCTTGCCGGGGTACTTCTGCTCCCATTGCGTAAGCAGACCGTCGACCAGCGGCGCCCACTCCTCCTTCCGATAGCTGTAGCCCATGATCAGCGCCAACCTGGTCTCGTCCGCCGTGCTCCCACTGCCCACCTCCTGGATGAGGTACGTCATCGTGATCCCCGTGGCCACCTTGGCCTTCTGCACCGTCTCGGGCGTGTACACCCGGAACGCCGCGTACTTGGACGCCATGTGCTGCTCCAGTCGAGAGAGGCTCATTCTGTATTGGCTCCGACGTGTGCAGTCTTGATCGAATCGAGAAATGAACGAGGTGGTTGAACTGCGAGGTACTGACTGATGCAGAACTCCTGGGGCTGGGCGAAGGCGTCAGTCATCCGAGTAAAGTGGGACTTGGAATCGAGCGGAGCTGTTGAAGCCATGCTTTAGAGGAAGGAGCGCCAAGTACATGCATGGATGAATTCACTTCACCGGACGCACTGGGAGCTCCGAGTAAACACTGTACATGTATTCGCGGCAGTAATAATTTCCCTCATACTTACAGCAGCATATTGCTTCGCTTACAATTTCGCGCGCTCAATCGTTTGCGCAAGACCGTCGGCGATCTCCTCCGCGAACTGGAAGAATGCGCCGTGCCCTCCTGTCTCGAAGAACAGAGTGCGCACATGGTCACCCTTTAGGCGCTCGATCAGCGCCACCGAGTTCTCGGGCGGGATTAAGATGTCTTGCTTGCCTCCGACGATAAGGATCGGGAAGCCCGCCTTGGCTACGAGTTCCAGTCGTTCGTCCGACACGTAGTGCGTCAAGCACGCTACACCCTGCGCCACCAGCGCGTACAACGGAGGATACGCGTTCTCGGACTGAGGGGTCGCATGGTACTTCGTAAGCACGTCCTGCACGCTGAGATCCTCGCGGCCGTCGATCGGGTTGCCCAGGATTGTGCTCGGGTACAGCAGCTCCATGACGCACTTCATGGATCCGCCCAGGACCGAGCCGAGGAAGGGCTTCCACATCCTCGGGTGCGGCAAGTATGCCCCGCGCGTGGTCACCAAGAGCGACAGCGACCGCACACGCTCGGGTGCCGTCGCGGCTAGCTCAATGGCGATCATGCCGCCCATGCTGCAGACAAACAGTGACCGAGTCAGCTTCTACTCTGCCGCCACCGGCAGCACAGTTTAACGCTCCTACCTGCCACCGATGAAGTGCGCCGAGTCCCAGCCGAGATGGTCCAGCAAGCCCAGCGTGTCCTGCGCCATGAGGCTCGTCGTGTAGCGCGTCAAGGGCGCGTCGCTGCCGCCAGCGCCGCGGTTGTCGAAGCTGAGTACCGTGAGCTTCTTGCCCTGCTGCTCGGTGTCCCACGCGTCCAGCAGCAGGTCGATGACGGGTGCCCAGCCCTCCTTGGTCATCATAAAGCCGTTGATCATGACCAGCCGCTCCTCGGGCAGGTCCTCCGCCGCCTCGGGCTCCTCGGTGCTGCTCTCGACCGCGTACTCGAGCGTGATCCCCGAGCTCAGCGTCGCCCGCTGGATGCGCTCCTTGGGGAAGTGCCTGGGGGCCGAGCCCAGCGCCTTCACGTGGCGCTCCGAGTGCAGCCCCTGGCCCTGGAACGTCGGCACGTCCTCGAGCTTCATCTCGATCTGATTCCGATATCTTGCATTGCTGGACGCGCGCCACAAGAAAGGTGATACCGAGTTTGACAGGTCCCGCAAAAAAACTTGCTCAAAAAGTATACTTTTTTAAAAGTAAAAAAAATATACTTAAAATTATACTTTTTGCGCAAGTTTTTACTACTTAAAAGTAATAAAAAAATCCCGAGCACTGGAGCGAGCGCAAAGTTCAACACTGGATGGTGGAATGTCTGGTCAAGCTTGTACCTGGCAAAGAAGCTGTCAATAATACGATCAGGTATTCAATAGTTCGAGAAATTCACTGCCCAACTCTTGTTTTGATTTTCTGTGTTTTATTGATGATGTTGTGCAGAATCGTGTGTGCACCGACCGATGCTTGATTGGGCTCTACTTGTGGATCTGCAAACTGTCTGCATGGCCCTTTTCCAGAAGAACAACAATGACTATGATGGGTCCATCGTTCGCTTCCTGTATCGAGTTGACTTTATAAAGCGGATCAATGGATTCGCACTGAATTAGTTTAGCACGAGCTGTGACGGATCTCTTAGCTGCCTTCGGGCGTGTCGATCAGCAGCGCTAAACATCACCCGATCGTCGACTCCGATACTTCACGACAGTAGCAGCTTGAACAAGATTATCTTGTTAAAGGTTGTTAGGAGGGACTACGTGGTCCTTCTTGAGAAGTCCCAGACCGTAACCCAGATACTTCGAGCCTGGCTGGGTTTCACTGTGAGCAAGAAACGAGTATGAGTAAGTACCCGTCGTGCATGAAATGTGTAAAACTGAATTCGTACGGTGAATCGCGTTCATCTCGAGTGATGTTGGGTCTCCTGCCATAAGACGAGGGGTGTAAGCAATCACACGCTCCAGTTTATTGGTTGTGGGCAGCAGAACGTACCGACTATTCTTTGCTTTCGCTGGCGGGGTTGTTGCTGTACATTGGAAGCAGTCACGACTAATAGCCGGTATGGACTCTGAATGCACATGAGGTAGGGACCCCACCGAGCGCACTGGTTTTAAGTGGGACACTGGCTGCAGATTGGTGATGCTTGCTGTGCCTGCTACCGCACGGTTTGGAATCTGATCACGACGATACTTCCGAACGGCACGATCGTGCAGCCCAACAGGCTTCATCAAAGCGACTGGACGAGCTCGGAGGCTTGCCGCCCCATTGGCAGGATTGTCGATGTCTATTGCGTGCCCTCGCTACTTCAGCAAGACAAGACGAATATTCGACCACGGTTAGCATACCAGAACCCCGGCAAAAGATCACTAGGGCACGGATATACCGTCAAAGCAGCCTCCTTCGAACTCGCATCTAGCAGAATAAATACAAGCCGAGTGGTGCCGTATCACTACCAATGAAGTTTTACAAAAATTCAAAGCTACAGTACATACCTCGTGCGAGCTGTGTTAGGCGGAATTGTGAAGCGTGAAGATCCATCATAACCTGTTCATACCTCTCGATCCAGACGCGCACCTCGCGTTCCTTGACAGACAGCTTCCTAAGAGAATAAGGGTGAATAGGATTTCAGCAGCCGTCGAACAAACTGGTTGCGTCCTACCGCTTGCAATCCAAAAGCTTGAGCTGTGTGTTTTCTAGGTCTTGGTGCGTGATGAGGAAGTCCTGTTCTGCTTTCTACACAACCCGAAGTAGTAAGACCACATGCTGCATACGAAGATCGTAGCACATTTAGATCCAACCTGGAGCAATTTTGCGCTGCATCGCGCAGTTGCACGAAGACCAACGATTTCAGCATCTTTATGGGCAATCTCCTCGTTCACCTGGCTAATGCCCTGGGTAGCAGCCGACTGCACTCGAATGATAATGATTAGAAAGTGAGACGCCAGTAACAATCAAAGAACCCAAACAACTGGGACTGCTGTACCATTTCAGCTGCCAGAGCATCCAATCTCTTGTCTTTCGCGTAAATCTCTTCCAGGTCCTGCAACCTTTGAACGCGTTCTTCGCGCAGCTCCATCAGGAGTCGGTTGGTTTGCCGGTTCTTCAGAATCGTCTCTCTGCATCAAATTTTGTAGCGAATGTCACGACGCTGCTCATGTCCGATTAAGGTTCTTGCAACACGCACGTACTTTTCCTCGCGCTCCTCTTCCAGAGCGATCTGCACTTTGTCCAGTTGGTCTTCCAGTGTACTATACCAGCCACGTCAGCACCTCAAACTACGCTACAGCTTGGAGGTTGAAAACTGCAATTGTACCGGATCCGACCGAGCTGAGCTGTAATTCATTCGCCGCACCAAGCATCAACCACTGAGCCGCCGAACCAACATCCAAGTCACGCAGTTAGCCACGTACACGTATTCTTGAGCTTCTGCATCTCCAGCGCATCCTGGAGCTTGAGGATTCGCTCCTGCGAGGGCACAACAATATGAGAATCGCCGCTCTGAAGGCGCAATTGGTCGGTCGCACCTCGTACTGCTTGGCCTGCATTTTACAAAAGGGTGATGAAGGGTTATTTTGAGCGTGGAGGAAATCCGTCACGTGACCATTTTGTGCTCCATGCAATCACATCTTCCTGAGCTGCGTGCAAGCCTCCTCCACACCACTCCTAAAAAGCCGTCTCCCCAAGTAAAACTCAGCATTGAGCACGTATTCCCACGTCATAATCCTTCCCCAACTCGTTGCAAATCGCGACTTCAGTGCGGCAAAATCAGGCCACGCCCTCTAAAATTTCGTCAAATGTCACGCACTTCCCAACAGTCCGCCCGGCCCAAAGATGGAGGAGCTGGACGCGCTGCTGGACGCCGCGTACGCGCGCGCCGCCGAGCTGCAGCGCGCGCAGGACCCGGAGGCGGAGCTGCGCCAGCTGCTGGCGCCCGTGCGCGAGCTGTTCGCGCAGCGTCTGCGCCGCGAGAGCGCCGGCAGCAGCAGCAGCAGCGGCGGCGGCAGTTCGTCGAGTCTGCCGAGCGAGCCGGCGCCCACGCGGCCGCTGGGCTACATGGGCAAGCTGCAGGCGCTGGTGGCGCGCTCGCCGCCGGCCGTGAGGCGCTCGACGCTGCTCAGCAGCGGCAAGAAGAGCGTGCAGCAAGACGTCAAGCCCCAGACGTACCTTAACGGGGCGGCCACCAGGCTACACGCGCTGGTCACGGGCAGCAAGACGCTGTCGGCCAACTCGCTGCGCGGTAAGCAGCAGCAGAGCGAGGCGGCCGTCCGCATCCAGGCGCTCGTCAGGGGCAAGACCCAGAGGCAGACGCTCACGAGGCAGCACAGCATCATGGTGCAGGGCACCAAGGTGAGGGGAGGGAGGGGGGGGAGTTGAGCTGGGAGAATATGTTTTTTCTTATCTATTTTGTGCTGTTTATTTTATTTTATTGTAGGTTTTGAAGAAGTACGTGTTGAAGACGGACAGATTCCCGAACTGCCACGAGCTGGATACGCCGCATGGCGATGTTGGTGAGAAGTCTTATATTTTTATATTTATATTAGAGTTTAGGTGCTAATGTATGCTGTTTCTTGTTGCTCTTGTTGACAGCGCCGAACTTTAGGAGGTTGGAAGGCACGCCGCTGTATGGATCTGCACAACCGTCGCTGGTATGTACAGAAGTGCGTGGTTATTCAGTGGTGAGTGTTCTGATGACTTTTATCATTTTATTGCCGAATAGGAGGGGATTCAGATGATTTTGAGTCGGGTGGCGGCTGATGGGTTCACGAAAGTGGTGTGGGTGAACCTGAGAGAGGTAAACTTCGGCTGGGCTGACGAGGTGCGGCGTGGTTGCTGGTCGCTGATGAGAGTTTTGTTATTGCTACTGTAGGAAGCGGTGATTTATGTGAACGGGATGCCGTTCACGGCGCGGCGTAGTGCGAAGCTCAATGAGAACGATTTGGTGCCGGGAATCACGGGACACAAAATCCAGGTCCTGGAATCGTCCTTGAAGAGCAGTCTTCAGGAGGAGCTGAAGGCGGCGGACAACCGCTTTGAATACTGGAACGAGGTGGCTCTGAGAGAGAATGAGCTCGTGGTGGGCACCGCACAGCCTGATCATGTATTGACACTGCCTGAGTTGTACGAAAGCACCGATGTGGCTAAATACAACGACGCCATTCAAAGCGTGGTGTACCGCCGAGTCCCCATCGAACGGGAGAATGCACCAGAGCATGGAGATGTCGAAATGCTGATGAACCTGATGGATGCGACCGAAGACGATGGAGCGACTGCCTTTGTGTTCAACTGCCAAATGGGCAAGCGCCGTACGACGACAGCGATGGTAATCGGTCGGCTTATCTGCCAGCGGCATACTCTGGATGTTAATAGCTTGACGTTGGAGACAGAAGAGGAGCGCGAGAATCAGACCGAATCTGGCAACTTTGCTGTCATCCGCGAGGTACAAACACGGCTAAAGAATGGCAGGGAGGCGAAGCGGTGGGTGGACGCTGCCATCGACGAGTGTGCCACCATCTGCAACATCCGCACGGTCATCAACGAGTACCACGACTTGTCCAATGCTGAAGCGAAGCCAGCGAAGCGGTCGTACTACCTGCACCACGCCATGAGTTTCCTGGAGAGATACTTCTACCTGATTGTATTCGGCAACTACATGATAGAGACCCACCAGAAGCCCAGCGGAGAGGAGCCCGCCCCAGACGCCGAGGAAGAAAATGCCCATCCATCATTCTCCAAGTGGCTCCAGCAACATCCGAACCTGTTCCGCTTGCTGGATGACCTGGGTGGAGTGCGCTACAAGTCTGACAAGGTGCTGACTGACTGTGTCCTGAAAATGGACCACTTCTTCGGCATTGCTCGCATCCCGTTTGAGCTGACGACAAACGTCCCGAACTATCGACGCATTTCAAACGAGCCGATCTTTGGCACGGCCCAGTGCCTAGAGCAGGGAATTATCGACGTTGTGGAGCATTTGCGTGGCGAGTTCGACCGCGCGATCTGGATTAACTTGCGTGAGGAAGCGGTCATTTACGTCACCGGTCGCCCGTTCTGCGTGCGACATCAGAACGACCTCATGGTAAACGTGGAGTATCCGGGTATTGAGGTGGACGAGATCACGGCGATCGAGCGGCAGGTCAAACTCGAGCTGCAGACGAAGGTCAAGAAGGACAACGGTTTGTTCATGTATTGGTACGAGCCTCGCGAGATGGTCAACGACGAGACGATGGAGCACATTAACCCACAGCTGGATGTGAAGACACTGACCGAAGTTTACGAGGACGCGACGCAACAAACAGAATTCGACTTGCGCTATGCTCGTATCCCAGTGTCGGACGAGACTGCACCGGAAGAGAAGGACTTGGATGATATGGTGCGCCTGCTATTGCCTGCGTTTATGAACGAGTTGGGACTGGTGCTGCCGTCAGAAACAAAGTCGGCGGCGCAGAAGAAGCTGAAGACGGCTGTCATCTGCAACTGCCAAATGGGGCGTGGCCGCACTACGACGGCTCTTGTGTGCGTGTACATGCTGCGTGTGGTGCTTGAGGACAGCGCGTCTTCGTCCAAGCCGACTTTGCTGAAGGAGATTCTTGGTGCAAGAGCTGCGGGACATCGACGCCAGTCCGCTGCAATCACCGCCGAGTTCGTGGTGATCCGCAAGTTGCTCAAAACGCTGGATAACGGCTCCGACTGCAAGCTGTTGGTTGACTACGCCATCGACCAATGCGAGCACATGCAGAACCTGCGCGACTGCATCAGCCAGTGCCGCGACCTGGCGATCGACCGTGACCTCCCGAGCACCAAGCGCGACTTCTTCATGCTGCGGGCGGTGAACTACCTGGAGCGCTACTTCTACCTGGTGTGCTTCGCCTCGTACCTGCTGGAAGAGCGTGTGCACTTTTTCCAGCGCAGCCTGTTTGTCACGTGGATGAACGAGCGCTACGGCAGCGCGTTGTATGAGCTGCTGGACAACCTCTGCTTTGAGGAGGAAATTGGCGCCGAGACGCACGTGTCCTCGATGCGCTGGCGTTGGCGCCGCAAACGCAAGCTCGTCTCGCGATTGGAGTAAGTCCTTCTTGGGAGTGTAAATACGAGTACGTATGGTCTGCAATTGCAGCATGTTCAGTGAATTGGTGGGTTCAGCTTTGACTTGATACGTGTACGAATTACTTGATGCCGTCTCGAGGTAAGTGGTGGTGTGGTACATAGTGGTTGGATTGTTCTTACTGTTTTTGTAGTGTAGAAGTGAAATGTGCTAAACTGCTAGCCGCGGCTGCTATCGTTGCACTTAGCTGGTACGATTGCGGATGTAGTACGGCTCGTCCTGGTACTCGGCGTCGCAGTATGGGAAGGCGGTGTCGTCGTCGGAGGGGCTGAACAATTTCTTGCCAGCGTGAATCATCACGTACACACCCGCGATGCTGCAGATGACCACGACCGCGATCGACGCGCTTTGTCAAGGGTCGACATCTTCCAGAACACGCGCACGTGAATCAGCACCGGCATGACCATGTAGTTGACCGTATGAGCGGTGGCACCCGTGAAGTCTTCGAGATCCAAGAACTTGTTTTGCGCCGCCACACCGATGACGACCATGATGGTGATGATGGTAAGGCGCAGTGTGATGTAGCGCAGCTTGTTCTTGATTCCCTTGTAGGGCTCACGAAGCTGTTCCTCGTGATCTCCTCGGGGCACTCGATAGCCGCGCGGAGGTGAGACATCCGACCTTCAGACTTCTCGACCAAGCTTGAAGCAGACACTCCGTGACCAGACACCCCCATTGGAGTCAAGGTATGCACGTCCGAATACTTCTCCTGCAGCTCCAGGTCTTGGTCGATGATCTCTTGATCTTGGTCGGGGTTAAAGCGGACGATAGCTGAAGTCTTGTGCATGCCCAGGATGAGACGCTCGGCCACGTAGAATGCCGGCATCATCAGAGTCGAAAAGGCGACGGCGATGTGGACTTGCATAAACAAGTACGCCATGACAACAGCAGCGCGACTGGAAGTGAAGCCAAGAGGCGTTTGACCGAGGGGGTTGGAGGTGTCAACGATCGAGTACAACACATTACCAGAGATCTGGCAGCCGCCTGCCAAGTACCCGACCACCGCGATCGCAAAGAAGAAGGCGGAGATGAGGACAATGCTGACCATGAGCACCCGAGGCATGCGCTGCGGCTGGGAGTGCTCGCGCTGCAGGTCGGGGATGACGATAGCGGCCCCGTACGCCACTGCGAGGTTACCGAAGCAGGTCAAGACCTGGTGCACCGATACATCAGGCTTGGGGATCGACGGGTGGCCACGCATGTTCCACTGCAGAATGGCAACCGCGATGATGTCGGCGATGGCGGTCCCCATGCAGCCGGCAAACGCCATACCAGCACTCTCCTTCAGCATTGGGATCAGAGACACCGGGACGACCATTAATGCCACGAAGATGATCCAGAAAGTTCGGCCGAAGGTGTCGGGGAACGAGACGTCAAGTAGCGTACTACCCAAGATCAAGTACGCGATCGGCACGAGCACGCACACCCCAACTTACGACACCACGGAGAAGAAGCGCCTCCACTCACGGAGGTCGCCGTACGTCTTGACGGACGATGGAGCCGCCAGCATCGGGATAACTTGATGGCAGCGTACGTGTTGGCGAACATCATGAAGCCCAAGGGGATGGTGGCGTAGACAGGTCCAGCGCGAGCGTAGTTGGAGGGCATGGCGAGTGAACCGATGCCGATGACGGCGCAGAAGACGTTGAAGGAGGTTTTGGCGTCCTCCATGGTGACCCAAGGGGTATTGGTGATTGTCGCCAGAACTTGCTCAAGAGAAGACGAATTCACGAATGAACAATTGGAGTTAGCATCGGGCTAGCTGGTGGTAGACCCCGACTAAATACGAAAAATACCCAAAGATTATGTCAGAAATACCCACAGAAGCACATCAGCACCATTGCAGAGAAAGGAGAAATCCTTAATGTGCAACCAGAACCTCAAATAGCAACTTCAAGTTAGCACTTAAGTTGCAAATTCGCAACTTTCCGCCACCTGTCACACATTCGCTCACGCAGCAGTGCAGGCAGGAAAGAGATCGATCTGTGCGGAGGGATGGAGCGCCGTAGAAGGACCTGTGGTGGCGCTGAAGCTCCCTCTCTACGGTACGAAGAAGGACCAGTAACGTGTTAATGATGAAACGTGCTAACAGAAGTGCTATGTGTTGCTTCGTCTTCTGCAGGGCGTTCAAGGGCATCTCGTGATGGAGCGTCACCACAGCGGACGTGCAGAAGTGCTCTCCGCTCCCGGTGGAGGTGAGAAGGGCCGGTGTGACGACACTGCGGGCTTCCTGGAGCGCGAAGTGGGGCTGGACGTGGCTGCGTGCCTCAAAGCTGGCGACGTGGACGCAGAGAGTCGCTGCCTCGGTCGGAGGAAACGTGCAGCTGGAGCAGGCGGTGCAGCAGGTAGCGCTCTTACAGGAGCGGCTGCGACAGAGTTGTGCAAGGTGGTTTGTGGGGCGGCTACGCAGTGGCGACGGCTTGCTGCAGCCCCGCGTGGTGTGTGTGCACGCCTAGCTACGGTGAGTCTACTGTCTGAAGTTCCTATGATAGTTCTCATTACTAAACTGAATGTGTATTGCGGATGTGTGCGATTAAATCGATAGACAAAGGAGGACCATGCATGATAAGGATCAATGTTGACGCAGCGAGATCAGCAAGGTATTGCAACAAATGCGAGTTTATTTGACGAACTTGTTGCTCTTCTAGTTTATGCAAGTTTATTTGCCTATTGATCTTGTTCACAGGCGCGCTCGTTAGTTTTTGGCTAGTGCGTAGCCATTTTGTGCGGGACGGCCTGAGGCTTGTGTCTCGCTCTGCATTCGACGGGCTTTGTTCGAGCCGCGGTACACAAGCGTAGCACGCTTGCCACTGCGGAGAAGACCACGGATAGAGAGTGCGTGAGTCAGGTGGATGCAAGCAGCATACTTCTGGAAGAAGCGGCAGCTACATGAACGCGAGGACGTGTTGACCGTCCACCCAGTCGACGGCATTCCCTCCACTTCCATACGGGCCAGGTGCACACCCTGCTGGGCCGTTACCATGATTGCTTCGTGCGTCCGACCCACCTCGGGATCGAAGATGCGAGGGCATGGCTTTGAAACAACGCGCACGCAGTCAGCCGGAGGGCGCGTATCAGCATCTTCATCGAGCAGAAACGCGATGCTGGCTCGACAGGGAGAATACTCATGCAGCAGCTTTGCAGCCGCGAGTTCCTTGCTGCGCCGGACCAGAGACTTGGGGATCGTCGCCTCGGTTGCGAAGGGCTTGTCGCTCAAACTCTCGGCGGTGCAGCAGGTAAGAAACTGCCCCAGAAGAGCCCCCGTCTTGAGTTTGGTGTGAAGCGTGTACTGACGCTTGATTGTCCTGTTATACTGTTCGACAGGGTTGTTTGTAGTTGCCTAGCCCCGCGGCGTGTGGTAAACCTGCCAGTGCGTGTAGCGTCCAGCGAGCCATTGCGCCTTGAAGTATGTGACAAATGTGGCCAGCTCAGGCACTTCAGCCCACTCTCCCAGCACTCGCGCTTTCGTGGTGAGGAACTCGGCCTCGCTGAGAGAGAAGTGCATGCCGTAGACCCCAGTCATCACCAGCTTAGCGTGAGAAGGCTGCAGAGCACGTGTCTTCTCAAATACTTCTCAAATACTTGCGCAACGACATGATAAAAGCACATGAGGTATTTTACCTCAGCACTCTCACCAAACACACGCTCCACCCCGTTGAACTGCGCGTCGTCAGCGTCACCCATGACCATCTTGATCAGAAGTTGTTTGCCAATCACCCGCTTGTAGCAGGGCCTCCGAAAATAGCATTATCAATAACATTATTTCAGAAAATAACAATAAATTACGCATTTCGGCGGGTTCAGCCATCTACCGTGATAATTTATTGATGTGCTTTGTGATATTACATAATTTATGACAGTTACCTTTATATAATAATGTTAGCGTTTTACCAGCCATCTTCTCGCTTCCAGTCGTTCAGAAGAACTGGAATCACTGGTTGTCTGCGTTGCTAGTTGCAGCTCATTTGGCAGCGCTCACTTTTCAATTTTCACTTCTCAAGCCTCCAAGACCTCATCCAGCATGGTTCGCGCTATCCGCCCTCCTCGCCCTACCTACACGAACTCCCAAGTCTCGGGGTTTTACTTCCGCCCGTGTCGCGACGAGAACGACGAGGTGATTCTCGAGTATTTCCGTTGCCGTTGCGGCACGGTTCGGAAGCAAACCCATAGGAACGGGTACTCCAACCTGATGCAACATATCAGGCGGGAGCACCCTGACTACGAGACCGTCATGTTCGACGCTACGACGGCGGAGACAGGCTCCCTCGTGAACTTCGTCCGCCACTCGGCGCTCAACCTCCACGGCTGGATGGTTTGGATTGTCATGTGCAACCTGCCACTATCTTTTTGTGAGAGCCGAGAAGCTCGGCGGTACGTGTATGCATAAGGTCATTGTGTTTACATTACTACGGAAACTAACAACTTTACTTTATGGATGTTATTCAGCTACTCCAGCCTGGACCCCATCTCGGATGGGCTGGCATGGACGGGGTCGTCGTCGCCGTCGAGCGTTCGATTGCGTCGAAGCTCCCAGCACGCTTCGGCATCATGCTCGACGGCTGGACACACGCATCTGAGCACTACATCGCCGTGTTCGCCTGCTATGAGGTGAACGGCTGTCCCAAGACAACGCTACTCAGCATGGCCCCGCTGCTGGACGCGCTGGACGACGATCTCTCCGCGCAGGGCCATCTCGAGTTTCTAGCGACCATGCTGCAGCGCGATTACGGCGTACAGCTGGCGCAGTGTCGCTTCCTCGTAGCTGACAACTGCGCCGTAAACCGGCGGCTGGCAACTCTTATGAGTGTGCCGCTTGTTGGTTGCGCAAGCCACCGCCTGAACAGCAAGGTTCAGGCG